TTGTCATATTTTGAATTGCTGCCCCCATTTGCTCCCTTTCTTCATGAATGAGCAGAGAGGTAATGAGAACTGAAATATCTCGTCATATCCCCACAAAACAGAAGCCGACACGACTGTAACTTCTTTTCTTTGCAGTTCCTTCTTACCTTTAGTGCTGCATCCAAAATATCAAATTGGACAGGAGGGAATGCACGGAAAAGTATGGTATTCATGAAGTGATGCTCAAGAAGGGGTTTTCTTAAATTCCCAAGGTATCATTACCACTTCTTTAGATATGACTTCTTCTCCATCCACTATTCTTACACAGTCTCACATTCACAGTAACAGAACAGTGGTATTTACATGGCTCCTTCCTTAGTTCCAACAGTTCTATGCCCGGCTGGTAATGGCCTGCAGTTATTTACAGCACCAATATTGGATATGTCATTTACTCAAGAAGAGACCTGCACATTAAGGCTACTAAATGTAAATGTATTACTAAAGATAATATGCTTGAATTTATGGTAAATGTAAAGAAATTAATGCTTCAGATACCATTGGCAAACTATCTTCTGATACTCGTATCCAGAGTAAAACGGAAGGGAGGCCTTGTAATTGGTGACCAGCAGAAAGTGCAAGGATGAGCCGTGGTCCAAAACTCCATAACTGAGCATCTGGACCGACAACAAGACTGGATGTGATTTTGAGATAAACCTCCATGTAAATCACTTCACTTGGGGAAAGAAAAAAAGAAAATAGACCAATACACAAATGGCAACATTCGTTAAAAAAACACTCTGACAGGTGTTTTTTAATTAATTGCGATTGGTGTATTAGAAAGGAACAAGTAAAAGGTTTATTCCATGTTGAAAAGAGAAGAAAGAAAGCGCAACTTTTCGGCTGTGGAGCCTTCCTCTGGTGTAAGGTTGTAATTGGTGTATTACTTTGTTCTGAGTCTCTTGCCTGGAATTAAAGAATATCAAGGACAGGAGGCAGAGTAGGTGGTGGTTTCTAAAGTGCGTGAAGAAGAAGCAGATTGACTCTTAGGTGTGGACCAGAAGCATACAGGTACAGTCCTGGTTACCTGATGAGAAGCCATCTTCTGGTTACTTGATATTGCCATCTGTTGGAACCTTACTGACACTACGCCTTTTTGGGAAGGTCTGTTTCTTTTGTCTATAGTTCTTATCCTGATCTTTAATAAAAGCCTTTTATGAAGTCCATCTTACTAAACTGAATGACCAGTCTTTTAGAAGTAATTGAAATAGAGATCTTGTAATGCTAAGCTTCACAATGGAGATAGACAGCAGCTTGGGCATCAAGCAGATCATGATGTTGTACTGTATATTAAAGCAAAAAAAACTGGTAAGGTATTTCTGCCACAGGCATAGAATTGTGGTGCAGAAAATGACGCAATTCCACAGTGCTCAGCAGAGGGGCACATTTTAATGTGGTGGGACTGCATGCCATGTATTTGCTAATTAATGGGCTCAAGAATGTACAAAAGACAGAGAGATATGGCTCGGGGCTTTTTTGTGTCTATGAAACAGCTGTTTCGTTGGGCTTCCACAGCTCTTTTAAACATGACACTCAAATTTACAGACCTGAAAAAGAGTCAAGGGTAGTGATAATGGTGTTATAGATGGTGACCAGGAGGTCAGTGAGTTTTATTTTTTATTGTTTTAGTTAATTGAATCCATAGACAAAGCCTGTATTCAAAAAGTTAGGAGGACGTTTTTATAGACTGATTATTGCCTCAGAGAGTGAATGAGTATATATAGGAAAAGCTCTGCACCTAATAATTAATATTAATGTACCGAATTCTACCATGCTCGGGCAGTATACAAATTATCTTTTTTCCTTTAATCTCCTGCAGGTGGAATAATATATTCTTTATTTTTTACAGCAAGGCACTAAATGTTCTGTCACCAGCTACACTGAAGTAAATGCCTGCCTTCTGACTTTTGCACAATTATCTACTATGTATTTTAAGCTGTTTCAATATGCTAAGGGAGCTCTTATTTAATAAACTCTGCCTTATTATTCATTCCTTGATTTACCTCAACTTCCTGCCTCCTCCAAGAAGTGGCATAATGATAGATGGCGAGATTGGTTTTGGTTTTGATTTTTTTTGTTACTCACATCTTCTTTCGCTGTGCAAGCTGTGCAATTAAGTGGATTTAGCCAGACAATTTCTGAGATGCATCCTGACTCCATAACAACTTAAGAATTTTATTGCCTGTGATTCAGTGTAGTACGCACTCTTACAGACTCCTTGAGGAGGCATCCTGACATGTCAATTTTCATGATAGCAGTGAAGCCTTCTGTTAAACACCAAATGTCAAGCGGTTGCTGACAGAATCCAATAATTAAATCAACAGGTGTCTGGCCTTCGCGAACGTAAAAGAAAAATGAATCTTGTTTATGAGTGCCATGACTCTGTTAATCAGTTCATTTAGTCTGCTGAGGCAAATACACCTGTCCTTTTTGCCACATTCTTTGATGTTAACTTTGGAAATTCTAGTGTTTGTAACCACTATTTGTTCTTTCTTATTAACTAAAAGTGGTAATGCTTAGTCCTTGGAATATATTTCTGATACTGATAATATTAGAAAATTATCTTCCCCAGACTAGTTTAAAGCATTTCTATTTACTCCGATACAATTCTTTTTTACCCATTTATTGATAAATTATATGGTTTGCCCAGCACATTTTGAATACATGCCATTAAAACACATTTTATAAAAGAAGAATGATTGTTTCCAGGGCAAAACTGACCAAGAGTACATCACACAGATCAGTGTGTTTGGTTTAATTAAACTCTTTACCCCAGATATACTGTTTGTCAATGTGGGGAAGTACTCTTCCTTAGTTGTTTCTGAAAAAAACAAAGTATAAAGCATACTGAAAACATGTTGACACATACAATATACTAACTAAAAAAACACTAACACTATAAAATCAAAGTTCTGGCCATCACAGAAGCTGGCCAGAGTGGACAGCTTTGCCTTTGTTGAAGTGTTTAGTTGCTTAGGGAGGCACCACCACTGTGTGCCATCTTCGGAGAATGATACCATCATCACCTCACATGTGCCAGCAAACAAAGAACGTTCTTTCTTGTCTTTTCCTCTGCCTGAAAGTTCTTTTTACACGCACATGTGTACACACTGGCACAGCGCCATCTTCTGGTTCTTTGTTAGCGGCTGCACAAATGTGGGTTGGCTGAAGCCCAGGAACGCAGTCCCCTGAGGGGACCACTGTGTGTCAAGGCACTGCAGAAATCACTGCTCAGCATCTACGTGTTGTTTTAAAGCAGAAACATATGAAACCGATTTGAACGACTCGGAATCAGGAACACTGTGTACAGTTGCATAAGGTGGGGGAATATTAAAGCGGAAATGGGGACCTTTGCTATGATGTTTTTCATGAATTCCTTGCATAAACAGGACTTCCTTTATACAGCACTGTCATCATATGTTCAGAATTCCAGTTGCATTGGGCAAGGGTGTTCTCTGCTGTACACATGCATGACTCCATAGAGGTAGTGGTACACTGACCATCAGAAGAAGATTATCACTTAATCTTAATACCAATTAATGGTTAATACCAGAGAAAGGGTGTTTTGTAGCAGGTGCAGTGACATTTTATTGAACAGATGTGTCATAGGTAAATTCATTGTGCTGATCAACATTTGTCATCAACGGTGTTGATCAACGGGGGGGGTCTGTGAAAGTCACAGGCTAGTAGCATGCGTGCCCACTGTTGGAATCAACACAAGCTGTACATCTGTGACTCATGCTTTGCACCAGCTTGCAGATGCTCTTTTGTGGGATTGTGTCCCACTCTCTCCTAGGGCCTGATCAAAAATGTGCCTGTTCACTGAGCCCTAGATGCCACACATCATCCCATTTAATCCCACAAATGTTCAATGAGGTTTAAGTCTGGAAAGGAGAGCATCCTCAACTTAGCTCTCGCTGGCATCTCACAGGAAGGCCATTTTTACATTAGCACCATGTTGTCCTGCTGGAATGTGGTCTTAGGATGGACTCACAGGAAGGGCAGCAGTTGAGGTCTCAGGAGACAGTGTAGCACATTGCAGTCAGGTTGCCATCAATCACTACAAGTACAGTCCTAGACACAAGACAATCTTCTCCCGACCATCACAGATGGATCTCCCCATCGACTGATCTGTACACAGCAATTAGCTTATCATTCCCCACATCTGGGCCACATTTGCTGATGTCCACCAGGGTGGTCTACACCTTGTCTACACCAAAACTGATTCACCACTTAGGAGTGCTTGGCTCCACAAGTTCCATAGGCATATTGGCTCCCTTCTGTGTTTTTCATTCTTGCTTTTCACAGTGCTTCACAATCAACAGGTTAAAGCAGCTTATCAGCTGTGCTCAGTCACTTCTTTCACTAATAAAGGGATTTAATGCTTCTGCAATACTCTCAGTCACTTGGGTGTATCATGAGCAATTCTGAATAATCCCTTAATCACAATCATGCCAAAATATTTAATCAATATGCAATATAGAGATCATTTATTTTTCTATTAACGTACATGCATTAAAAATGATAGGCTGTATTGCAGTGATTAAGATGGAGAAAACTGAGGCAGACACAAATTTGCAATGTGATGAGTGATTGAATCAGCTCTGCGCTTAAAAAAATGGATACCTGGTGAGAAATGATAAAGCATAGTGCAGCTAACTACACTGCTCTTTGAAAACCTGGGGAATGGGCAGGTCTTGTCCCTGTAGTATGTTTTTGTGATTTCACTGTATATATGACTTTCAGTGAAGCACTGTACCCTGGAAGAAAAATGTGGTGATGAATATGAATGTCACTGCTTACCTGCTCACTGCTCACACACGAGTAACTGTTCAACACAGATGTAAACAGTGACTCATTAATCCCGTCCTTCATCTTTACTTAGCCTTGACCCAACCACAGACTGAATCATCTCTGTGTCCGCAGGAGAAACAGCTGTGAGTGTTTTTTTTTCACCTTGGCAGGTTAGAAACCTGTGTTACATGGTGACACGACGTGAGAAGATGAAGCACTCCCTCTGTGATCTACAAGAGAAGATATTCCACCTCCAGATCCAGTTGATTGAAGAGGATTTAGCAGGAGGTAAGTGAGCAGTAAATCACTCCTACAGCTCAAAGAAAAAAAATGAAAGCTTTCCTTTCAGTATAGTTCACATTAACTTACTGATGTTTTTTATGGTAATTGCTAGGTCCCTTTAACACCTGGTAACTAAAGGCTACATCGAAAAGCTGAAATGAAAATTCTTGTTTTCTTTCCAGAGATGGGTCTGCTGATGATCTCATCGTCAAAAGCCAAATTCGAGTCAAACTGAAAATATGGGTTTCATATGTTGCTTTCCTCCCCCTTTTCTTCTGTACAAGACAGGAAACTGGATTAAAATGCATCTACGTCTGTGAAATTGTTCACAATAAGGGAGTAAGTTACATGCAATTCAGCAACACAGTGTGTTGCCAGGCTTCTGATGTACAGGAGCTGCCCAAGTTCTGAGAGTAATACGCTGCAGGTAGCACTCACTCTTTTAAAAGCAATTCACAGCGCATCTGTTTCGTGGTCAGAGTGACAGATTTTAGAAGTATATTTGGTTATTATATTTGAGAAGAAAGTGCTGAAACAGGTGAATTCCTGGAAAGAGATTTATTGGTCAGACAGCCTGTAAAATGGAGCTGAGATTTGAAGTTAGTTTTGATTGCGATGTTCATCATTGTGCTGTGAGCTCCTGACACTTTCCCAGAGCTGCTGCAGCAGCAGTTTTCCTGTATGCAGGACTTCGTTAGGCAGCTCTAAATGCCTGTATCTATTCACAGATGCAAATTAATGCTTGGAGGAGGACAGCCTCATAATAAGCTATGGAAGGCTGAATCCTACAAGAAGTTGAGGTGTTTCAATAGTGGAAAATTAGATTTTTTTTTTGTTTTTTACAATGGAAAGTTCTTACTTCAGATCCTATGCCTTCTTCTGGCCCTTCATTCTGGTCTGAACATTCACAGCTCACCAGTGATCTTAAAAATAACTTAAAATCCTTTAAATTCTGTCAGTGGTCTAGATAGGTTCGTGGATTCTTAAATTAATCCCAAATATTGTATTCTATAAATGTTCCTGCTAAATATTTGATAAATACTCCTGCTAATCGTACACCTCCTCCTCATAGTACCTGTAGTTTCTGATCTTTGAAGTAATTGTTTTTAATGAAGAATGAGAACTCTGTGCAAAGTGTGAAACAACATCATTGTCCAAATCGCTGGATCAAATCAGAGTACCTGTAGCACAATGCTGTTATTTGTATTGTGTTCAAGCTTTTCCCTTAAAATATATTAATTTGATTTTGCATGTTAATTACTTTCTCATGATAGCTCTGAAATTGACAGTGCTGTGATATAGCCCATATTACAGATGTTTGCTGTTCCCTGTATTCCAAACTGATCCAAACGTGTTTTTATAAAGATCCAAAAACATTGTTTTACATTCCCCTTTTGTCACATTCCGTTTTTCTTCTTATCAGAGGTCAGGGCAAAGAAGGGGAATATGAGAATATGCGGGGGACTTGGCACTTGAGCTTGCTGTAAGTCATTTCAAGAGTGCTAGCACCTTGCTAATAGGCAAAGAAGCTCATTGGGCAGAGAAGAGAGACCGAAGACAGAAAGAAAATTAATCATGTACTTCAAACATGAGTCCCCAGGCAATACTTCTGAATAGGAAGGCAGAAGCTGTTTTTAAAAAGCAAAAAAAAAAATGCTGATGAAAACCTACAGTTCATCAAACAAGCTTTTTTTCTTCCCTAATAACTGCGATATTAAATGTCTCTGTTGTGCTTAGATTTAGAAAGAGAGAGTAAAGGAATCCAGGGCATCTTTTTCATTAATGCATGTTCTCTTCATGACAGGTAGTTCAGGTTGCTTAACACAGCACACAGGATTGAGCTGTTTAGGAGATGTGCAGAATCTCAGGACTTCACCATGCATGGCAAACTAAAGTGACAAGGAAAGGATTATTTCTTTCTAAGTACAGTCCTTATGAATCCAAGTAATTAGCAATGGTTATTTTTGGAAACATAACTTCAGTCCTGTAGGTCTTGTTCATGTCATTATTCCCCCTTGTGAAATTTTTGCAGCTTGGAGTGTACAATAGTTGTTAGTTTTAGGCAGGTCTCGTCTGCTTTTAAAACATTTTCTAAAATTTGTATCCTGGATTTTTAAAACTTATTTTAATTACCCCACATTTTGTTTAAAACATTATCCTGTATCTTCATTGATCTAGATATGAATTTGCAGTGCGATTTTAAATATGATATGCTGCATGTTTCAAAGTTTTATAACATTTGAATGAAAAGGCTTATTGAAAGCAAAAATCATACTATAAAACTGAAATAATTTAAATATCCTATATTGACTATAAATTAAAAAATACCAGATAGCACATACTCTAATTAGTAAAATTGGTTTAGTAGTAGTACTATTAGTACTATAAAATCAGTAGTAATATAGAATATATGAATATAACGTTTATATAACATGTAATATAACGTTTATATGTTTATATATTATGTTTATATAACGTTTTATATAGCATGTTTCATATAACAGAGCCCTATGTTTTTTTATAGAAAGGGAGATTGTCCTCAAGAGATATCTTATTCCAGGGCTGAAGTTAATGTGTCTTTGCATCAATGCAAAGTATTTCTATATCTAACTTGGGGGCTGTGTGGTGATACTGTTCAGTACAAGGCTGAGTCGAGCTCTCTCTGGTAACAGTCACAGAACACAGCCACTCCCTGAGCCCCACCACTGTGCCATGGTAACCCACATTTGCTCACTTAACAGTGCACTTCAGAGCACTAGCTGAACTGTGAAAAAACTGTTGTAATCAACAGCTATTCCTATGAAAGGTGTCTGTTCTTCAGTCTGTAACCTATTTTAGACTTTGAATTTATTAAAAGATTGTTTCTTCAGTCTAAAATTGCTTAAGTCTTTTCACTCCTTTAATTTGTTTTTATACTCTTAACAGCTACAGACATCTCAGGAAAGTGGAATATAAAGAAGCGGTGCTTAAAATGCACAGTAGAATTGGAATGCCTGGCTCAACACTTGGATGTGTTTTTTTAGAGCATGTCCGAGTAAATCAACTGGGCTTATGTTATTACATGTTCTGTAGACAATGGGAGCACCACCTGTGACTTCTGAGGAAAAGCCATTCATTCATCCCACAATGAAAGGAAACATTATGTTTATACAGAGCATAAGATGAAATCCCCAGACAGGATAGAACATCTTGCAGAGGGAACTATTGGGATTGGGATTGTTTTACAACTCTCTGCATTAACCACGAAACCTCGTATTCCACTGTTTAATTTGTTTTGTACAGTGTTTACTACTCTTTCAATTTACCTGGTCAGATCCATTGACTATGAACAGAGTAGTGTGTTACCTGTAACGATTGTTCCCTTACAGCTAATTAAATTTGAAGTGTAGTCCATAATTCCCCTTATATATTAATGGCAACTTCAGATTTGACAGTGTTATTTTAGCAATAAGATCCCCACAGGCTTTTACTCCTGGGAAACCCCATACGCTTTGCTGTGCTGCTCCATATCAATAAGATGTTTCTGCAAGATCCTAGGAAGCAATATTCTGCACCAGCAGAGAGATGATAATAACACAGAGCTTGTATCTACTGTGTCTAACCTTTCAAAGACTCTCTTTAAGTGGCTTAAGTTTTATTTTCAAAATGTTTAACATAGATACCTGTTGCTAGAAATAGCATTCAGTTCTGTAACCTTTCCTGGCCCCATCTCAAAACCATTAACTTTGGAACCTTCTAAGATTTGAAAACCTGATTCAATGTAAGGGTCTTTGAAAGTCTTTCTATCTCTCCATCTCTCTTGTCCAGAGAAGGCTCTGAAAGGAGCCAAAGGCAGGCAGAATGAAGGAAAAGAGAGAGGGAAAGAGCGTCGGAAAAGCAGTCCAGAGAAAAAGGAGAAGTGGAAACCAGAGAATGGTTCGTTGCTGAGACCCCTAGGTACGTAGGTACTTGTATCATTTGTCCTTGGTTTTTATTCTTTTATTGTGGTTTTTTAAAACTGTTTTTAGTTTATTAAGAGGCCTTGATCATTTCTGCTGTTCCTGTTTATCCCTTAGACATTTCATAAGAATAATAATAAACTTTATTTTATATAGCGCCTTTAAAGGTGGCTTCTCAAAGCGCTTTACAGAATGACACCAATGAATAAAAAGAATAAACAAGATAAAACACAATTCCAATACACAGAGGAGACCGTGGATGGTGGTACTAAGTGTAGTAGGAGCAGAGGGGTAAAGAATGGAACCAATTAAGTAAAGGCTCTTCTAAAGAAGGTTTTGAGTCTGGATTTGAAGGAGTTTAGAGAAGGTGACTCTCTGATATCCTTGGGGAGGAGTTCCAGAACTTTGGGGCATTACAGAAGAAGGCCCTGTCACCCATAGAATGTAGACGGGCTTGGGTGACAGGAGACTAGAATTAGAAGAGCGAAGGTTGCGAGGTGGGAAGTAGGGCGATAATAGTTCAGACGGGTACTGAGGTGCCAAGCCATGCAGAGTGAGATATGAAACTTGACAGGAATCTAATGCAAGGACTCCGGACTCAGGATTCTGGCTGCCGAATTTTGGACATACTGCAGTTTGTTCAGAGTAGATTTAGATACCCCAGCAAGTAGAGCATTATAGTAGTCAGTTCGGGAGAACACAAATGTGTTGATTAGCTTTTCAGCCACAGTAAGTGATAGCATAGGGCATATTTCTGAGGTGATAAAAAGATGTTTTGACAATATACTGCACATGTGGGTCGAATGTTAAGCCAGAATCGAATATCACCCCAAGGTTTTTCAATTTTAGACTGAAGCTCAAGTACAGAGCCATCTACAGATAGGGTTACAGGACTGGCTTTACAAAATTGCTGGAGGATGCCAATAAGCATGACTTCAGTCTTGTCACAGTTAAGATGAAGGACATTTTGTTTTTATGTCAGAGATGCAATTAGATATAATAGAGACAGCCACATCAGTGTCTGGTTTGGTATGGATGTAGATTTTGAGAATCATCAGCATAGAAATGATAGCTGAGGCCGTGCGAGCTTAAAAGCTGACCAAGTGGAAACATGTAAATGCTGAAGAGCAGGGGGCCCAGTTTTGTGTCCTGTGGAACACCAGACTTAACAAGACCAATTTCAGACCTATACCCATTAAGAGAGACAAAGTGACAGCGATCAGTGAGGTAAGACTTCAACCATCTGAGAACAGTGTCAGAAACTCCTAACACAGTCTCAAGACAAGAAAGTAAGATATCATGGTCAACAGTGTCAAAAGAAGCACTGAGATCAAGAAGGGTGAGTATTCTAAAGAGAATCAGAATCAGAAGCTATTAGAAGGTTGTTAGTAACTTTGACCAGGGCAGTTTCTGTTCTGTGAAGTTGACAGAAGCCAGATTGGAGGGGGTTGAAAAGGTTATTTGGCATGAGATGGTTATGAAACTGAAATGTGACAGCATATTCTAGATTTTTTGCAAGAAAGGGTAAGTTGGAGATGGGGCAAAAATTGTTTAGATTGTCCAGAGTCATGTTAGGCCTTTTTGGCAGGGGGGTAATTGCAGCAGTTTTGAGAAATGTTGGTACAATGCCAGTGCTCATGGATTTATTTATAATATTGAGGATAATGGGACAGAGAGTAGACAATAAGTAATTTATAAGTAATCCAGTAGATAAATGATCTAGACAATAGTCCAGTCTAAGATGACCTAACACATGGTGTCTGTATGTGTGAAAGATTTACATACAGTATATAGCAGCTAACTGACTCCTTTCAGCTAGCTGTTTGTTTTAAAGGCCTTTTATTGAGTGGTCCGTTTTGACATGACTTTGGGTGATTGCTTAGTATTGGCATTTTTGGAGATCTCTTTAGATAGGGCTGAAAAGAGGTTATGCCACTCTACCCTACTCTCTAAGACTTTAATCATATCAGAGCAAAGTTAAGTGTCAAAGCTCCTGACAGACTCTGACCCTAGGAGAGTGTTGCTATGAGCCAGAAATTTCAAGACCAATTAGCAATTAGACAGGGAGGCACCTTTGAAAAAAGAAAAAATATATATTTTCATTCTCAGACATATGAATTTGTTATGAAGCTTTTCTTCTCAAAATTGTCTTTCTAATATAAAAGTTTAGTCAAAGCCAGATATTAGACTTCTTAATAGCAAGTGTATGAATGCAGATGTTGTTGAATGATATACTGCATACACTATTCTGTTTTCTTTTCATCATCTGTGCAATCAGATGTAATAACAATAGCTCCAGAATATTCTGTTAATACTGTGTGTCAAGTGTTTTTTTCCTGTCACTACAGGTGAATTGGAAAAATGCAGATTCAGACTTGTCTTTTCTTGTTAAGCTGGTATTCAGTTTGCACAGATCTCTCTACTAGGGTTGTCAGGGTTACAGCCTATACCTGAGAACAATCCAAGAGTCTGTTCGGTTTACACAAACAAAAATGAGACGACTTGGCAGTTCCCCAAGAATGACATTCCAGACCCTGATGTGTCGTGTGAATTTGCCCATACTGCGTTGAGAAATATAAATATGCTGTGCAGGCAGTACCAGAGAGCAGGTTGAGAAGCTCAGCCTGTGCCCATCGGCACACCCGCTGTGTCTGCCAAAAGCAGGCGTTCTGCTGCGTCATGGAAAGAGCTCACCATGAGGCCTGACGACAGCAGAATACTTCTTAATAGCGCGAGGAGCACTGGACTCACAAGGGCTTTGGAACATCGTGTCTGTTAACGCAGGCACAGATCTTTCTGTACCTTGACAGATGTTTTTTTTAGGTATGTCAGGTTTCCATATTTAATATGCCAGTGATGAGAGTTTAGTATCAGGTACAGATTTTCATTTAACCCCCATAACCCCTTCCCTCTTTTCAGCCATTACAAACCTTTTTTATGTTCGCTCAGTATCACTGATAGGAAATTTATAAAGGTTATTCCTTCCCTTTTTTGGTGTTATTTTAGGTCAGAGGAGATAGGGATTGTTCCTGAATTTGTTAATTACTGTTATTAAAACAGCATCTCAAGCAGGTTCTAAATCACATTAGGTACCTTGGACTCATGAAGTAGTCAAGCTTTAATTTTCTGCTTATATTTTACCTCTTGGCTGGAGAGCTGTGTTAATGATACGACTGTACATAATAATTATAATAACCCATAGTAATACCCAAAATGGTCAAATGAAAAAATTGTAGTTTAATTTTTCAGTGGCACTGCCAGTAAAAAGGAAATAAGTGCTGTAAATTAAAATCTGCTTGTTGGCGTGTGTGTGGGTGTGTGAAATTATCTCCCTGAACATTTTTGTAAGCATGGGCACTCAAAACAGAACATTGCTTTTTGAAGAATAAAAAAAATCCTCAGTGCCTTGTGTGGACTGAAGTGGATAATGAAGTTATCACCAGCTTTACTCTTCAGAAATATTTTGTGCATAAAAGGGAATTGCCAATCATAAAAGTGCAGTTTATCAAAACAGATAGAGCAGGCTCAGATCTTGTGCCTGCCTGTCTGTTGCATGTTCCCTATTTAACTTAAGACTGAGACAGTGCAAGAGAAATCAAGGCACTTCGTACTGTAGCCTTTTGCCAGCATTCAACAACTTCCGAATGCCGGGAGAAAAGAAATATAGATGTCAGATCACTTCTAAAATAAATTGGATTTACTTGTCATAATGTACAGTGAATTTAGTGTTTTCCATTTACAGCACGTCTTGTATCTGAAATTATTAGAATCAAAAATCATCAGCATTAAAAATAGAAAACTCTCATGACAGCTATAAATCTGTGTGATGGTTTTGACATGCATCTCGTTGTTTAATGTTTTTAGTGTATTTTGATTTTCTGCTCAAGAGGTAGAAGAAACAAACAGTGAAGCCAAAATGTTGCCAAAAGACTTTGAGCTACACGGCAGGGGGAAGGAGAGAAATCCCACCTGCGGGGGTCAGTCAAGACGTAAATGTTAATTCTTTCTGAACATCAGAAGTGCATTACAATCACTGGAAGATGCTCCAGGCTTGAGGCTGTGCTCACGTTTTCCCTTTGTTTTAGATTTACCCAAGACGTTCCCTATTGACGGGACTCTCTTCGACAGCTGGTTGGCGCAGTCTGTGCAGATCACCGCAGACGATATGCTGAGCCAGTGGTCGTTGCACGGGCCCCACCAGGAGAAGACGGGCAGCCTGCTGTCAGACCAGTTGCTGCAGGGAGAGGAGAGCCTGCTCAGCCTCATGATGGACCACTCCATGAAGTCCACCTGGAAGACACCCCAGCTGGGGAGGAAGTCCAGGGCCAAGCCCAGAGCTAAGAGTCACAAGACCAATGGCAGTACCCACAACTCCTCCTCCTGCTCCAGCACTGTATCAGCAGCTAAGAACAGCAAAGGGAACCAGGGCCTGTCGGAGGAGAAGAACGGGAATATCTTGAAAAGAGCAGAGAAGTCCAAGTTCTCCAAGGCTTTCCACCAACAACATCACCACTACCCCTCAAGGAGGAACAGTGAGACCAAGCAGGACCCTGGCACAGGATCTCCTCAGCCTCCCATTTCCAAAATGGACTCTTGCCACATTTCAGAGGAGAGAGGGCCCTGGGCCAGCCAGCCGGTGCTGACCCAGGAGGCCAGCTGTCCTGCCAAAGTGCCTGAGGCGGGGAGCGGCCCCAAAGCTGTTGTCCGGTTCCGATTGCCGAAACAGGGTAAGTCCAAATCAAAAGCTGGGAGCCTGGAACTGGGAAAGGAGACAGAGGATGCAGGGAAGGACAGTTTACTGTTCGACACGGAGACTGATGGCTATTATTCGGATGCTGAGCTGAGCGACTCCGATACTCACTCCAGCGGGGGAAAGATTCACCTCGGTCAACTTCATCCCGGAAGCGAGGAGCTGGTTAGGAGAAGTGTGCTGGCCACTTAAGGAAGGACAAGCAAAACAGCAACAGCGACTAAACCTGACAGTGTGGAAACAAAATTTGATCCCAGTAACAACTGCCATGGCTGTTTTCTTTGTTCGTTTCATTGTCTGTTTATGGATTTTTTTCCAAACCAAATCCGTATCTATTCAAGTTACAGATTGCCTTTTTAGTTTATTTCTAGCTTTTTCCTGTCAAAATGGAGCTACCAATCAATTAGTCACATCTAAATTAAAACTAAATTAGTTTTTAGTGAAAAATAATGCTTTGCATCAAAAAAGTCTTCAAGTTTTCTAAAATATCCAGATGAATACGCATGTTACTTTTCTGTTATCCGCTGGGAAGTTAAAGTATCCACTAAAGTATACGTCTTTTAGCCTCCCAGTGGCTGTAATTGCCAGTATTAACTGCGTGTGCAGGCTCAAGATATTTCGTGGCATTAAAAGCTGGTTCAGGAGGAAGCCTCCCATAACCTGAACCTAAGATGTGTTTGGTTGGAGTTTATTTGGAGTATTTCATTTTGTAATGAATGTCTTAACACGAAGTGAATGCTGAGAATTATTTTTTAAAGGGAGTTTAATAAAGCACAATTGGTTAATGGGGGTCAATTCAGCTCCTCCAACCAAGCAAAGTCCTCCTTTTTAAAATCTTCCAATGTCCTTGTTCACCAGCCACCGCGTTCTGACAGGTCACTTCACAGAACCTTTCCAACTCTTCTCTGCCTTGTAGGGCTCTATTCATAGTACAGTTTTTCATTGTCAGGGTCCCTGTTGTCCTTTTAAATATTGCAAACAAGAGAGTGTAATACAACATTAGATTTTACAACCATGTGCCTTTTTAATGCCCTTAAAAAATTGTAAAACAAGCTAAACATGAAAAGACATTTCGAGAGAAAATGAAACAATGCATTGAAATCTGTATAGTAAAGCATCTTAGCACCTTCTGAATCTATCAATCCATCATATACAGCCAAGTCACCCCAAGCAGGGACATGTTCTGTTCAGACTACCAGAATTGATATCACAACAAACTTTAAGCTCGATGTTAAGCAGAGCTCTTGTGCTCAGACCATGTATTTTTACATGTACTCATTTGAATCCCATTTTAGGCATTTTGGCTTACCTACTGTCCCTACTGTGAGCAAAGAAATAAATTATTAGGCCTTACAATTTTTTAATACCCTCTCCTATAATGAATGGAGCCCTATTCTGGCAGATGTGAATGGTCTCTGGCATAACCAATCACATAGTAAGCATCTTAGCCCAGAATGCTGACGTTTTTGTGTTTTGTTTTTCTGAAATGAATTAACAGCATTGTATTTTCTATTTAATAACAGTGGTCCACAGTATTTACTCAGGGGTTAGCAATATATATATACATATGTATATGTATACTTATTCTGTGGCGTTATCGAAAGACTACACTGTTTGAAACCTGACTACTGCTGAGTTTTTTTTCCTCAGTAACTTAAGAAGCTGTTTTTTTATTTTATAAATGCCAAAGAACAGTATGAAAATGTGGCACATCGTATTTTATGTTTTTGGTGAAAGGATATGATATTAATGCAAGGCTAGTGGATACTGACAAATAATTTATAGTTGAATTGCAGGCGGGGTGTTTGAGGAGATTCTCAGACATTCACCATAATACCACTGGCTTACAATCCGTCACTGGTTCACCAACGGTGTTTAGCTATGGAGACTTGATTTAGAGAGCAAAATGGCTTATTTCCAGTATCAGGCAAAATAGCCAAATGCTGCTACCTGTGTGACCCTTCTGCTAATAGAGGTAAATTTAATTTATGGCCTAAGCACCAGAAATTCCTCTTGGAAAACTGTATTGTATTAACAAGGTTTTTTCCTCCCTGTTCAGATGTGACACCCTTTTTGTGTGGCAATCTGGATTTTAATTTTAGGGAGTTTTGAACTTTATTCAGACTGTGACTGAAGATGGTTACAATCATTAAAGCATTTGGTTACTTTCTCTTCTGGAGCAGGCCATGCGTTGTGAAATATACCTTACCGAAACAATATATTTGTGGACAAGAAATCCTACTAGCTAGCTGCAGTCCATCTTCAACCTGCTATTGTTTCGTCTTGCAAAGACAATTAAAGGTAAACCTGGTTCAATGTTCAATACTGTTCAGTTATTTTACAGTTATTTAAAGCTAGTGTTCAACTACAAACACTTGTATCCTACATGATAGGTAGCAGTGTGTAAACAGCATTCTTCCTGTACTGTTTACTGTTGTAGGAGAATTGGGAAAGATGTGTTGCTGGTGCCTCAGCTATAAAAGCTAAGGAAACTGAATGGCATTCTAAGGATGTTTAGAATTTTTTACAGAATGTGTTCCATACGTTTCATTGGAATAACCAAGAAAGAATGTCCTTTTACAGTGCTTTTCAGTAACATCGAGGACTGTTCTGATTTGTTTTTTGTTGCTGATGTTGTTGTGCTTTAATGCTAAACAACATTTCAAAGGATTTCTTCTGCTGTGTTAGCTGCTCTGATCCGTTAGGGATTGATTCGAGGCTGTAGTCAAAGACTGACTCCTGGTTTTTGTATGCACCAATGATAATGTATAGTACAGTACTAGCAACCAGTTTTCTGTAACAGGCTTTGTAGGCTTTTTTTGTAAGCTTTAGCTACAGTAAATATTATAGAATGCTCAATTATAATTAGATCGACTGCATCTTTACCGGAGCTTGCTTCAGTGTACTTCAGTTAAATAAAAAAATTGAAGTATAATTACCACACAAACCCCACAAACCACTGCTTCTAGCTTCTGTGTTCTGCATCCTGAGTCCTTATTCGTTTTAGCACAGGAGGATCAAAGAAACAGACTTAAAGGACAAATAATGACAACCACATGTTCTGTATTCATTCTATTTTCATTCTGTCTAGAACTTGAGGGCTGTATTGCACTGTTAGTACATAATGTTCCATTGCTGTCCAGTGTTTTTGCAGCTAAAGTAAACAATGTATGCACAATAGTTCCTGCAGATTAGCTTAACCACCCTGTATTGTTGGTTGAGAATATCCGTTTAAACACAGACTTGTTGTGCACCTGACACAAAGAGGAATTTGAACAGTTGAACAGCACAATTCAGAGTAACATTTTTTCTTTAATAAAAAGCATTTTATGGCGTGTGCTGAGAAAACACTGCTTCAAGGAAATCATGTCACTCACTTAAAGGTTTTACAGTGTTCAAGCAAAAGAAATGAAGAGTTACACTGGTAGTGTTGGTGTGAGATAGCTGCTGCATTACACTGAATAAACTGCCAATAAAAAAAGTGGCTCCTCTCATTTTTGCATTTTCTATTTGGGAACGTTCACAGCAGCAGCAAGCATAATATTTTTTTTAATGAAAAGGGCATGAATACTGAAGACCTGTTTTTTTGTGTTGGATAACTGTGTAGTACAAATAGGGAATTATGTTACTCAAGTCAAACAAGAAAGATTAAAATTAATTTCATAAGCTAACTTGTAACTAACAGATTCCAGAGAGTCTATTTTAATTCCTTGGAAATTGAGTCTAAAGGCAGGCAGACAATTCTGCACTGCAGGACCTTAGAAAAAGATTTTAAAAATTGGCAATATTGACAGTGCCGCTTTGTTCTACATTCCTAGGCTTATAAGATTACTTGCAAAAATGAGGAGCCATCACTGTTTTACTAGAGACAATATCTTGATAAAGAGCATTTATTTTTGCTACAATGTCACAGTTTTAAAGAACAATCACCAGATAAAAGTTGAATTTCTGATCTTCCTTTTTCCTTTAGGTAATGATTCCATTTTTAGGTCCAGACTTTAAAATATGCAGTTTCCAAGAAAAAAACAACAACAACAATCCCAGAAATGTGTGTGTTAAACTTTTGAATGTCACTATTACCTAGGGCAATAATTGTAGGTGTTCAAAAAATTGCTGTCTCTCTTTGTATTTGTTCGTAATTACTCTCACCTAATTTGCATGCTGAAACAAATCAGCTTTAAGCAGCACTGAACAGATTTCCTCTAAATGAGGATGAGCCACTTTGTTGTTTTTCATCATCCTGACAACAAAAACTCTTGGAGAACAGAAAATAATGACACCGTTTGGTTTTATGTAGCAGGCACACACACATTGCCACTCTGCAGCATCTTCAAATACAGCCACCATATTATTTCGCATCCTGACATTGGAAGTTTTGTGAAGTTTTACAGTCCTCAACTCACTTTAAAAAATATTTAGAGCAGTCTGCAACAAAAACAATCAACCTTAGGAACATGAAAGCAGTCAGATAAAATAAGAAATGCTTTGTTAAAAAGCTTATCGATCTTGGCTCTGTGTAAAACAAAACCCCTTTCTGTCAACTAATTCCTGCTTCCTGCTGAATGTCTTATTTGTCCTTTAAGCAAGTTCACGTTTTTGTTGCTGTGTACAAATCCTGAAACATTACTGCTCTACATCAGTTATTGATTCGATAATATGAATGTTACAGGAGTTTTTTCCTTCTGTATTCTTTGTTCAAAGAATGTTGTGCCATTTGTTAATAGCAAAGAGAAAAATATTGAAGATATATAAAAAGAAGAGCTATTTTAAATTATTTTTGGCTTTTTTTGCGATATTTATTTTCTTGTATTAGAATCTTCTTTGTAGGAAAAACAAAAAATGTATTTTTCATTAGTGCAGAAACCTATTTTTTCCTTTTTTGTACATTTTCCATGTTAAGCAATCTTTAAAGCAATATGATGTACAAGAAGGTGTTTTATGTGACTGTATCTGCATGCTGTTTGTGTTGCCTTAAAATGGCTGCATCCACCACTGTTCCCACCTGTCACAGAGGGCGTGGGCTGTTGCGTAATATTCTTAGCAATCTTTGGCGTGGTTGACAAACGCAGTCAATAAAGCAGTGCTTTCTGTGTACAAGTGTCTTGGTCTTGCTGTTGTCTCTGTCTTTGTCTAATTCTTTTCCTATATCTGAATTCCTCTGTCCTGAAACTGAAAAAGTATTCCAGCACTTACATCACAAACATGCGCCATCCTGGATACAATCATACAATCTCATATTTACAAGTTATCCTACGTGTATAAGTCAAGCACAACAATTATTGTGAGGTGCTCATGACTGTATAGTTATATACATAGTTATACATTCCATATACATCAAGAAGCTCCTCAAGATATTTTTGGCTGCCATTCTGCAGAAGTTGTACAAGGAAATTGTTTCATACTCAAGAATCACATTTTTTTAACCTATGGCTTTCAGTTCTGCCCACAGTATCCTGAGTTTGTTTTTACTGCTGTTCTGAGATTAACAGCATACAAAAAGTGTATCCTAGTAAACAGTTTGTAGTTCCTTATAAAAGGGACTGAAGAAAGGTCAAGTGGATTTACTGAGAGATACATGATTAATGTGTGGGAGGAATCCTGAACCCTTTTTGATTTTTGCACGTAACAAATTTAATTTTAAGTCTGATCTTGATCAAACACAACACAACCAGTCAAATTTCAAGTATTTCTAGGCTGACGTTCATGGTTTTGTAGCATATTCATGTGATAATTAACATATTTAAATCTGTTTTGAAAGGCATACACCACATTTCATTGTAGCACAAAGCAACATCCTTAATCCCGTAAGTATCTTCCTCTTATTCTATGAACGGTAATTGACTTGCTCTGCCCTACAAATCTTATCTGCAGCTAATAACTATTACTGCAAATGCAAAGATCAATATAGGCAGTTTCCTTGAATTACTACAGCCATCAATGAGAGGCTTTTTGTATTTTTGTATAATCTGCTTGTCACAAGTGCGGCAGGGATTTAATGCCACAGGGTGGTATTGCTCGTGCGCCTGCTGAAACAGAAAGCCTTCCCAAACACTGCATGAAGCTCTTCTGGGGATTTCACTATGTGTTTCTCCTGGTTTGTTCTGCCAAGACAGCAGGCATCACTTAAAGCCGAAACAAGTTGTTGCGTGGGTGGGTGGCTGTGACCATGACAGCATGTCTGTTTTGATGGTTTTGACTTTGAGCTTTTTGGGAGGCAGGCTGGCTGACAAAAAAAAAGCAACAGATATAGGATGGAACAGCACTGGCTGCCTGGCAATGCAGAAGAGATACTGTGTTGGTGCACATGTTTGTATTTATCTACTGACCTCTTGTGGTTGGCAATAGGCAGTGTATGATGCTACTGGAAGTATGCAAACTGCTACACCTTGTGTAAAAAACAGATTTCTTCAGAGCCTTCTAGACTGGAATGATCTAACACTACACATTCTGGAATTTTTAAAGCCAGCTGGCTGCTATTCCTGATGGCCCGTGCAGCTACCATTGAAGTAGGCAGCTTGCTTGTTAGGAGTGTTTTCAGGTGACTTGGTATAACTGTATGAAAAATGTGTTAGTTTCAATCGGCTAGATCCTTTCAAGGGAGGTTTACAGCTCACAAAAGATGGGGAAAAGATTTGTAGAAGGTTTTGTTTATTAAGTATTCTTCCAACTGTGAGAAGTCCAAATGGGTCTAACAAATATATAATTTCAGGTGGATGATTAAGATCTGTGAACATCACCCTAGAATGTGTCACAGGTCCTCTTTATTCAAACCTTCTGCTTCCAGTCCTCAGATGCAACTCTCCAGTTCTCAGAAAAATGTTCATTGGACTAATGGATGACTTTGGACTTCGAGGATGTGTTCTACAACTTTGATGAACAGCCTTTTCATGCATTACGTGTTTTCACATGTGTAAAAACATTGCTCTTTAGTATTATGCTTGGTGAGTTCCATTAAACTCGACCTTCATTTGGATCCAGACCTGATAACCTCCATTCATCGCATTTTGATAGAATGGGTTCTAAATCCTGCATGCTTTGTAATATATATATGCTTGATTTGCAGTAAATAATACCAAGCAAATCATTTTGACTGTAGGCAAGACTTGGGGAAAATTTTCAATTGAACATTGTTGTAAAAAGAATACTTGAGTTGATATGTCTGTTTTGTAGACTAGTGTGTTATATTTTGTTTAAGTAGGACATTACTGTGAAGTGTTTAAAGTCCTTAAACATTATTAAAGACCTACAGCACATTTTCCTATGTCAGTTGTGTTTTAACTGCTATTCAGTCTGGTTTCTTTCCTTTTTGCTTATAGCCATTAACCTTTTCAAGCTTTAGAGGCAAACCACTTTATACCTCATGTACTCACCTGGCCAGCTCCAGCTTTGGTGCTTTTTTTCTACCATACTTATTGAGAAGCAGAGCACAGATTAGGTGTCTATTGTTTGATCTCTTGAGAGTAAGTAACTTGAACCTGCTATAAAATTGATGATTGAATCAATCTGCAACAGAGAACACAGGGAATTTCTTACCACTTTTGCTTGTCACTCTGAGCTGCCTCCCTCTGGTAATATAGATTTTCGTGTATTGCAGATCTTTGAGCCATTTGCTACTGTTTTAAGAACAAATGTGAAAGAGAAATGAGAAAGGACAGAGAATGTACTGCCATCAAACTGAGTCAGGTTCCTTTAAAAAGAAGGAGCCGTACATTATGCCCCTGGAGTCAAAGAACACATTGAATTCCATACCAAAGTATGACATTTGAGCTCAGCCTGAGATGTTAACCACTCTTGCCTTTTTTTCTTGCACCTTGCCTTTTGCACTCAATATTATAATAAAACATATTTCTTCTTTTCATATTCCCTTGCTCTTGCTCATGACCAAGCACGGTATTCCTGTGCTGTTTTATACAGTAAGTCTTAATCAAACCTGAAAATAACTACCCTTTTTGAAGAGCCCAAATTTCAGACAAATTTATCAAAGAAGTTGTCATTCACAGATCAGTATTACATACAATGTATTAGCAGGAAGCTGTGTCAGTGTGTGGGCTGCAGATGAAAAAGGGTTTATTTCATGCTGATAAAACCTAAATGTAAAATACAGAGTGACTTGGCAGTGAAGTCCTCCTCAGATGTAAAGAAGATAGGGAGAGGAGCAGGAACTAGAGAGAGAGGTGAAGCAGGGAAAGCAGATGGAAACAAAATATAAACACATTGTATATATTACTTCTGTGTAAATATACTGTAGTAGTTCAGGTGGGTAGTTGCGTAGGCTGCAAAGGAACAGGTTTATTCCATGGTGAAAAGAGAAAAAACAAAATACAACGTTCCGCTTGTGGAGCTTTATTCGGTGTTTACACTCCCTGAAGGAGTATAGGTTTGAGATTCTGCAGGAGGAGATTAGGGGAGAATAGTCTCCCCAAAAGAGTGGCCACAAATCTGCTTTACACAGAAAAGGAGGACTGCAGGACACCCTATGAGAGTGAAATGGAGGAAGGAACAAGCCTGGCCAGGGATCTTCTTTTCTACTCCCCACCATGACCAGGAGAGAGCCCGGTGTCCCCCCACTCCTGTCTCCAAATGACAGGAGTTACATTTAAGGCAAGACCAAGTGTTTAATGTATAACTCCTGTCCAGATAAGGTATAAGCAGACCTGGCTAAACTTAAAAATCCATCATGCCAGTGAAATTTGCATTCATGTCTACTAATGGCAGAGGGCTAAGAGACCAAGTGAAAAGAAAGGCAGTCTTTCACTACTTGTCCTCCCTGCCATTCTCAATATGTTTCTTACAGGAAGTCCACCTGGGGGATGAAAGCGACAAGTTTACATTCTTGAAAGACTGCAGAGAGCCATGCTGGAGTGTAGGAGGAGTACAATCTTCTGGAGTTGGAATCCTCCTGAGACATTGGCATATGAAACTGATCACCACCTTCTCTATAGTGCAGGGCCGGATCCTGGTTGTGGACATCGATGGGAGAGGGCAAAAGTTAAGAGCGATTAACGTCTATGCTCCAACTGAGTCCTCAGAATGTGGGATATGTTTGTAGACCTGGTCAGCTACTGCATGACAAACAGCCAGGTGGCACAGGCAGCAGTGATTTCAACCCCAACCGAGAGAATTGGGCAAAGCAATTTACTTGCTCAAGCAATTTTCCCTGGCAGACAGCTTTCAGCGGTGCTGCCCAAATGACAGCTTGGAGAAATTCTAAGAGAGTGTGCAGTCACCTGGATTACATCTTTGTACACGTGACCTGCTCCCTGGAGTCTGCAGCTGTGTCACTAGTGTGGAATGTGCTGGTGTGGTTACACCACTAGTGTGGTGGTGGCTAATGCCAACATGCCGGCATTTGGTTGAGGCGATCCATCTGCTGGAACCTCCAACTCACTGGAGGCCGAGGGCCAAAACATGCCTATGATGAGTGAGCCTTGACCAGGAAAAAGGCTTCGACTGTAACGCTGCTCTGTAGAGGTGAAAAGGATCCGATGCAGATGCAGGAGTCGCAGGGAGGTAAGTAAACGTACCGCGCAAATCCAGGAGCTGAGTCGTAGTCCGAAGGCGAAGGTAAGTCGAGATCCGGTAAAGGCACTGGTGG